TATACAACGAAAGGAGACTGCGACCACACAAAAGGCCACACCATCTTGGTCTTCATACCTTCGATTAAGGATTATTGCCGCATACGAATTCTTCCTGTATAGTTTCCTAATGAGTCCAGAAAGGTATTCGTTCATCTTTCTCCACCTCCATTGTAAATTTAATTCTCTTATCAAGTTGGTTAACGAAATTGAGGAATTCACTTAAATTTTCCTTATCATGTAACCAAAGTGCAAACTAGTCATCCAAGTATCGCATGGGCACTCTTGGTTGCAGTGGTGACTTCTCGAATTCCCTTTCCAACTTGTCCATGTATACATTTGCCAAAAGAGGAGAGTGGTGATCTTATCGGTAGTCCAAATATTTGCTCATAGATAATGCCGTTTAATGTGAAATATGTTGTCATAACTGTCAGGTTGATTAGTCGTGTTAACGACACTTTTCGTATCCGTCCTGCCTCCGTTCTCGCTCCAATATCTCCATTAAGGCGCTTATTGCCTTCTCACCTGAGATGTTTGTGTACATGGATTGTGCTTCGAAACTCACAAACAGTTCCGACCCCGCCAATCCAATGTTCTGGATCCTTTGAGCAAATTCATATGAATTCTTGAGGTTATTCAATAGTCTATTATTTGCTTTCTTAAGCTTCAAGCAAATGAATTTCGCTAGTTTGTGTATTGCTCCATGCTTGTTTTTGACTATTAGTTTTAGAGGATTTCCGACTACGATGCCGGCGAAACGTCTTGGAATATACCACATCCACGGTTCAACTTTGGAAATAATCATGCAAACAATGGACTCCAGACTAGGTGCGTTCCTCTAAGTCTTCCTACTAACATTACCATGTTGCGAAAACAAGGTCAAACAACCTCTATAAAATAATTATGACATTTTGAGAAACCAGCTTTGCTTCGCCATTGATGCGGAATTTATCAAGCATTAAGCTTATTCGGCAATGAAAATTAATGGCAAATGATCATATGATATGTCTATCTCCATACCTTCCTTGCAATATTTTTCCACCGATATGCCAGTGTCTGCCAGCACGTAATAGTGGATGTAGAGCGGCGGTCAACTCGATTTATCGTTTCAAGTGAGTGTGGCAAATTGGCATCGGCAACCACGTTCTTCTCATACGGCCTCGAGTAGACATCACTGGTCGAGGTGTAGCGCAGGTAGAAGACACGATTAGCCAACTCGTGAGGAGAAGGCCTTAATGTATACGAAGATCTGTTGGGGCAAAATGTGAACATTGTTAGGGACATCAATAAACCATTAATTGTAAACTGAAATCGTCAGCAGCTTATCACAATATAATAAGCTCTGATATAATTAAATGGGAAAACTTGATTTTAATTAGATTCAATGTGATATAGTGTTGGCTTGACCTGGTTAACGTAACTTGGTCGGAGTGACAGCGATATCTCGTTGAACATGCCTAGTCCTGCATTATCTGCCAGTGTATTCATAATGATTTTAAGCATCAGACCATTGACTTGATATATTCCCAGACATTACGCCAGCATCAGCAATGAGAGGCTCCATGCTTAGAACAG